ATAATTTTTAATTTTTTTAATCTCTTTTTATCAAATTTAAGATTTTAAATTTTAAATTTTAAATTTTCAATCATTTTAAAATAATTTTTAAAACTATAAATACTTTGTACGTGGTACTTTATTTTTTAAAAAGAATTAAAATTTTAAATATGTAAGTGAAGTAGATAAAGGGTGAAAAGACGAGAGTTTTTACAACAGAAAAAAAAAAAAGACGTAGCTAGTTTACAGTTTACACAGAACAGGCGACAGCAGATTTTGGGCAGTCAGTTATGCAAAAATCGCCATTTCTCCTCTCATTTTTTAAGGTGTTTTTTTTAATAAATTCACAAAAAATCGGATTCAAACGGTTGTATTGAAAAAAAAAAAAAAAAACTTATATGTTACCTGACGCCACCAAACCAAAGGTCCAAGTGCCTCACTTTTTAGGTTTGAATCTAGATTGTCTCATACTATAAATATAAAACTTTAACTTCCTTAACTTCACGACTTTGAGAAACTCCACCTAAATTAATTGAAAAATATATATATCTATATATATATATGTCTCATGTGCCCTCAATGGAACAACAAAAAAGAGGTTACATACTGCCTGACTTGTCTCCTTAGAACGACAATGTAGTTGGTTCTTAAGGCACGTATTTTTTTTCTATTAATTTGGGCATAATATCTCAAAATTATGGAGTCGAAGGACTTTAAGTTTTAACTTTGTTGTTAAGGAAATTTAAGTTTATATTTAAAAAGTTGAGGGAGCCAAATGATAATTTTTGTCATTAATTTTACATAGGGAGTCGAGATTGATACGCAGAGTCGCAGACAAGGGAATGCATTATAAGTCATTTCTCGTTTGATCTCATGCGATTCTTCGGGATTGTTTTGTTGCACTCAGAGCAAAATAAAGCTAGACAAGGTGGCAAAGTGACAAATTAATAAGAAACCATGTGCATGCACTGAGCACAGTGAGTCACCGCATGGCATCCATGTGTCATCAGTTTCGCCACATGGTGCGTTGCCGTCCGCCGCCATGCATCTCTCCCGCCCACCCCAGAAGAAAATGCGACTCTGGAAATTACTTAATTTAAAGCGTTACTTGGTGCCTAGTCTTAGTCAAGCCTTTTTTCCGACAAATCAGATATCCGATATCTTGAGTCGATTCATTTCTTTAATTTAAAACTGATAGATTCTTAAGGAAATGTGCAGCTTGCACCTTCCCTTATAGATTGATTGGTTAATAATCAATTTTAAAAATGTATTTTTACCAAGATAATAGCAACTTAAATTCTCTTACTTTCTAAAATTTATTGGGATGGTGATATTGAGATAATTTTTTTATTTCATTTTTTTAATATAATTTTCACATACCATGAAATGAGTTTATGTATTTAATATTATGAATTTCATATGAATTAAAAGGATAAATAATTTTAATAACATATTAAATTATACAAAAAAAATTATTATCCTAATAACATTTCTCAACTTATTATTGTTTAGAAAAAAATAATTAAGGTAATATGCAGATTACCCTGCAAGCAGAATGAGATAACAAAACCGTAGGGAGTCAAATTTGCGCTAATTATGGGAAATCAGTAAATGCAAAAAGGTGGACGAGGTGGGGCACGTGCGTTTGAATTTTAATAAAATAATTTCAATAATGCTAAAACACAACACCGTGGTATATCGTAAGTTGTATTATATAATATAATATAATAATTTTTTTATTTTAATTACATAATATAAAATAATTTTTTTATTAACTCTCTATATGATATATGATTTGAATTTAAAATTTTTTATTTTTAATAAAAAAATTATTATTGAATTATTTAAATAATTAATAATATGATATATGATTTGAATTTAAAATTTTTTATTTTTAACAAAAAGATATTACTACTAAATTAATTAAGTTTTGACTAAATACACAATATTTAAGCATTAACTCACTAACTTATTATTTGTCTATTACAAAAATTAATTATTCACCAGGA